AACAAAGGTGTAATAGGTCAAACATTTGAAAACATAGAAATAAAATAAACCCATTTCTTCCCTTTAAAATAATTATAAATATGAAGTTTCCATTAAAACTTTTATAACGCTTTAAGTTTGTGAAGTTTACCTAACATTTTGTATTCTGAGCAGTAAATTTATTTAATCCTACTAAAAAACAAGATTACGAGTTTTGTCCTACAAATATACTACAATGAAAAGCGGTTCTGTATGACACCAAAAAGATATGCCAAAATGCATGAACACGGATTTAATTCTTAACCGAGATCGAAAACAGTCAAGTACGCTAACAATTTTGGACCATCCTCAAAATCAAATAAAGATAGAGGAATCGGAACCCAATGGCTCAGACAAAAAAGTTTTTCGACTTCAACATATTTGCAAAAATAGTTGCAAAAGGCCAGGAGTTTAAAATATTAAAGTTTTACGAGTCTATAATAATTTCATTTTCAGGCGGTTTTATTAACTGAAAATTCAGTATTACACCTAAGGGAATGTCAAATTACCCTACGTACAATAACGAGAATTAATAGAGTGAAACTTTTGATGAAAGAACTAGCCAATGTAAAATTGTAATAAACTCATTCTGCGAAGTTAATTTGCACCATCGGATTCCTCTTAGGGCCCAAGTAGGGACCGATGACAATAATTATTATCTTTGTAGTTTTCAAATTACAAAATGCAAACTAGAAGAAATTCATCAAAAAGGGAAACATCACCTCCTTTCTTCTCAACACATTGAGTAACGTTTTTATCAATATTCTTTATCATAAAATGGGCGAACAACGTTTTTCGACCCGACCCGCCGCAGATTTATGCCAGCATTTGTTGGTGGCTTCATGTAGCCTTTTTAAAATTATGGTACCATATTCTTTCAACAACGCAATTGCTTGTTGGTGGCTGTATGCAGCCTTTGAGACTCTTATGATTCACTCCTCACAATTTGGCCAAAATATCAATTCGGTAGTTCAATATCCACAACATGCAGGCATTTAAATCCTTAAAAACAACAAATTTTCAGAAGCAACACTTTGAAAATTGGACCGCATCATCTTTAAGATTGTTTACGTCAAATTTTTGCATCATAAAGTTCAGGATGACTTTCTGTACTAAAGATGTGAACATGGACTGAGGCAGAGGATTAAAACCAAAAAGAAACTCATAAACTTATCTTTTTGAAAATTACACAGATTGCAAATTGTCTGTTTAATTTTCCTTTTCTACGATATTTCATTTTGATTTGATTTTAATTCAAATCTTTTCTATTTTCTATCAAAAAATGTTACAAAAATTACTGGTTTTGACAACCAGGTGGACATACATTTAAGATTAGGGGTTAATTAATGCCCAAATTTCCATTTTTTGCTTTAACTTCATAAGTTGAATATCTGAGCTTAACTCAGTGTTGTAAAGTGCTTTATTCCTGTGGTTATTAAACACCATGATCGTCTTTCTTGATTTGTATTTCTGTGGTTAATAAATACCATGATCGTCTTTCTTCATTTGTTTTCCGTGGTGGGTTTGTGAGAAACCACAAAATTATATTTTCCACCTTTTATATATATACAATTTTACACTTTGTCATTCATTGTTCAAACATTTGATAATTAGCCTTAATATCCGAATGTAATTCGGGATTTTGAATATTTGGTCATTTTATATTGATGTTTAGCAAAATGGAATACGACCCAATTTTAAACTGGAATTGCAGAAACGCAGACCCTGCACCAGAGGAATTTAAAAGAAAGCTGCCTCTCAGGAAGCAGCAACGGAAACCGGTAGCAGGTCAATCTTTTTCAATGGACGACGGGTTAAACAAGAACCCTCGTCACTTTCCCAGTTTAACCCAAAGATTGGAGCTGCAGAAGTGCAGAGAAACCAAATTGGATACGGGAAATCCAAAATATATAACGAGTTTAAAGTACTCAATAAAGGAAAATTTTAACAGATGGAAACTGCCATCGTTCATAGAAGTTGTTAACTCAACGACACTGGAAAAGGCAATGATGCCTATCGACTTCATAACCCAGCCAGAAGGGGTTATAAAGAACGAAAACAACTTCTGGAAGTTAAAAAAGAGGGAGGAACACGGCTATATCCTCAAGGCAGGAGGCACTCAAGTCACCATCCCGTTCGAAGGAATAACTGCTTTTCCTAACCATGTAAAAGAAAGCAGACAGGAAGAACAGGACGACATCCAACAACTTACGGACGGAATGAGCAGACTACGAATTAAAAACAAGATTAAAAAGAAGAAGATCATGAAGTTGCAACAGAAACTAGAGGCTTCACAGAGGAAGATAGCGATCCTCAAATCATACAATGTAGAGCTTGAATCCGGAAGGAAGCTCTAGATAAAACCTAACTTGTCTTTATAACTTTTTCGTTTGATGTTCTCTTAAAATTTTATAACTATAGTATTTAACCATTAAAGTATTTAAATTTTCAGCATGGTAACTGTAAGAATCGAACAGCTTAATTTTTCTAAAAAAAGGGGTGAGTTGTAGTATTGCGAAATACTACACATACACAAAAGACCATTGTCTTAATTGTTTATTTAATGACCCAATTCTAAATTGGAGCGTGCCATTTAAATTAAAGCCTCTTTTCACTAAATCAGATATTGACTGATTTACTCTTATTAGGACTATAAAATCTTGTTTTGAAAATCCACTCCTTTTTAAATACTTGTCCAATTTTTCTCATTTTTTCATGCTCAATATTTTAAAAGGGCGGCGATTATTAATACGTCCCTTTTAACTTAACTTGAAACAAACTGGATAAATATTTAGCAGTCTTGCCGGCTGCACTGAAATTCTCCTTGCTTTGATTTAGCATAGATGCACCTGCAATATGATGCATCAGAGAGAGTAATATGAATTTTTAATCAGACAAACTGAAGGCTGCGGTTTTTATCAAAGGGGACTAATAAGTTGAAGATATTTGATTTGAAAAAATCAAATAAAAAACTAGTTGAAAATTCCCTTATTAAAAAGGGAGAACAAAGGAGCAGGTGAAACCTGAATAATTAAAGATTGAATCAGCCGCCGGTTTATGCTTATGAGCAAAAGGACTGGCCTGAAATCTTCAGTGTTTCATTTTGCTCAGTAAGCAGCAAGTCAGATCTCTTCAGTCAGATCTTTTCAAAATAAATAATTTTTCTTTTCTGCTCTTACAATAAAATTAAACTAGCCTTTTTCACAAATAAAATAGAGAATAAATTCTCATTTAAAGTTCGATAAAATTATAAATCGAGATACTCGAGAGACCCACACCTGAGGAAGTCTGGACTACAAGTACCCTAAGGACTACGGCAAGACGATTCAGACGACACAACCAGAAGTGCTGACTTGGACAAACATCAAGGGCAACCATACATACTAATCAGCCACCGAACTTAGTAAGAAGATAAAATATTGATGAACAAAATAAGATTAGCTCAACCTCCCCTCATAGGTATATTTCTTTAAGCTGTTCGATTCGCTTATATAATCTAATAACCCAGTGCTTTGTATTTAACCAACTAATTAATTCATACCTTTTCTAACTATTGTTTCTACTCTACTTTTTGTCAAGACAATTTGACGATCTAAGGTGAGACTTATAATTTAGGATAAAATTACTAAGCATTCAACCAGCAATGAGCGCTTAGTAAAGAGCAACTGGTTTCTCAATTGAATTATTTCTTCTCTGGTATGGGTATATATAGCCCATATGTTAAACAATTTCCCAATAAATCGCATGTTACGAGCGCACCATGATACTCATTGACACTTTGAAGACAATTACTCACAACTCAGTCATAGTTTTTTGAAGATAAACTGTACCACCAATACTAGTATGTTCAATATGGCAGCAGAGTTAAATCTTATGATAAAGTTAAGTATCCACAAGACATTGGACCATCAATACAAGCTGTTTATTTACCAACACTTCGGGGCGTTTGGGAATGAGAAATGTTTGCTCAAACGCCTTTTAGCCAACGAGCACTAGGGATGATGGCTCTAGAGCCGTTATACTCTATCAAAGTACCAAGTGTAGGAGACTCTTGATGATTGTACTTAATCGAGACACCTATTGCTTCCTAAACACCCTAAAATTGATATTGAATCTTACTAGTCTGCCTAAGCTTTTCGAAATCGCAATTTTAATGAAAAGTAAATAGCGTAGCTAAACGTTTGACAAAATAGCGCCTTTTGCGAAGAGTTTGAAAGTTTCGTGGAAACAAAAGGTCAGAGAGCTGGGAAAATTTCATTGGGCGACAAAAATTTTTGGTCAAGAAAATACTGTATCAATGTCGTCAAATAATGTCTGAGATAATTGAAGCTGATTTACGGTCAAGATCAAATTGCAATATAATTTTGAATGGCCGAAATAAAATTATCAAAGATATCCAGTGTTTGCTATGAACAGTTATTGATTCAGATGTGAGTCTACGAATCCTCTCGCTTGGGTACTTTTGGATCTTTGGATAAAGGTTCATATTTGGTTTGCCTGTTGGACATTCTGTTGTGCTTCCGGAGCTTTACCTGCAGAAAATATTGCAACAAGTGACCAAACTATCGCAGCTTAAGCAGTGACGCAGTATAACTTCTGATTGTTGCTCTGGTTTCGCGTAGTAGTATGTCAAGAGAAAGCTTTTGTGTTGTCAAAATGTCTGCGAGCGTAGGGGATAAATGGGCTCTAGCCTGTGGCGTTTAGGATTTGGAATAAACCCCTACTTTGTACAGAAGCTTGTTGAATTTAACTACCATTTTTGTACCATCAACTCTGCAAAACTCACCATAGTAGCCCGGTTCTCAAAACCAAAAATTCAGTTTACCGAAAGTAAGCAAAAATTCGCTGCCAAATATCGAAACATCTCACAAACATATTTTTTTCTTACATTTTTAATCACAGTTTTTTTTTGTTCAAATCATTCGATCAGACTTATTTGAGTCATTTTTTCGCTGAATCGGGATTGGTAAGTTTGGGCAAACATAGTTTTGATAGTTCGAAGCGGGGCTTAACTTAGAGCCGCAAGGTATATTGGGATACATATTTATATGCATGGGCACGTTATGTTTGGAGGGGTAAATGGAAGCTATTTTGGATTAGCGGGTTGAAGCCATATTGCATGTCATGCACAACTTGTCAAACAAATCTACAAAGTTACCAACGGCAAGCCAAATCGGCATTTTCAAACCATTTTAGCTTAGACGACCTAATGTTATTTTTCAGCTGTTTATTCTCGATTATAATACTGTTTTTAATATCACAAGAGCTGTTTTATAATTGCAGCTAAAACTTACGCGATCCGATAACTCGTGATTGCAATTAGCTGCGCGGGTCACAACAGTCTTATCTGAATGAAGCAGCTTTTTCAGCCGGTGTGACTACTCGTAAGCCACGATTGGCTTGAACTTAAGTACAACAAAGCATAAAAATTTTGAGTTTGAAGGTAATATAGATTTAGTAATATTCAATTATAAGCGCCACGAAGTTTCTGCAAGCCAGCGTCTTAGATGTTTTTATACATATGATCAGTGAAGCTTTGCTAGAAATGCATATGGCATAACTAACATCAGAAAATAAATTGATACGTATTTATATTTTTCTAAAAACCTAATTTATAGATTTCTTCCATCATTATTTTCCATTTTCTCAATTCCAATATTAGTTATTCCGCAACTTTATTTGACCTCTACGTGGCTTATAAGTTATAGCTGACCGCTCAACTGCTCAGTTCTTTTCTTCAGGTGTTGCAACTTCAGGTCAAGTTCATATTACTTATGATGAAAGTGGAACTGAACTGGATGATGAATTGAAACTAAAATTAATATTGAATTAGAAGAAACTTATGACCGAAAGATCACGAATGTGTTAAAGTAAGCCTCACGACTCGCGATTGAGCCATTCCTGTTTGCGACTTATTTGCTGACAAAACAAAAGGACGACATCTGACCCATGTATTAAGATAGGCCTCAAATTGGCTTATTCGAAAGACAAACTGAAAAGCGAGATTACTCTTTAATCGCTTTGGGGTCATTGTGACGATATATGGAAAGATCGCAAGACACAAACTGAAGTTTAGCTTTACACTTGACTAAACCTGGATGGAGTTTTGGGCGATGCTGATTGGCTGATCAGGGGGTGTTGATCTTACATATTCTCAATACTCAGACTAGCGCGTTATTCTTAAATCAAACATTTGAATCTCAGTTTGACAAACACCGCAATGGAGAATTGTAACAGTGACAGTTTTCTCAGCCTATTTGAAGAACCTTGTAGCTTCTCATCTACCATGAATCAAAGTTTAGAGCCATCATCAACGGCAGGAAACAACCCAGTGAATGTCCAGGATGCCAATGTGCAAGTGTTCGACATGGGATCCCAGTCGGTGATGGATCTATCGACGATGGAGTTCCCAATTTCGCCTTGTCCGAGCGACGCCTCGAACGCTACGACATCTTACTACAATCCAAACCCGAATCCTACGAACTCACAAATTCTGACAGCAGATGGTCATCAGGTTGTTGCCAACGTCTTGCTGTCTCCCAGTTCCTTAAAAGGTCACATTCATACAGGACACGGGGAAGAAAGTGACTGTTGTTCCTCATCTTCAGGCTACTTTTCTTCGGAAAGCAGTCCCCTTAGCTCAACAATACAGCCAATTTCTACTCGATCATTCTTCAGCAACGACAAAACTCTTCCGGTTCTACCTGTCGCGAACTGCAAGTCACAAATGACCAGACAAAATCTCAGTTTTATTAGCCCCCAAAATGACAACAAAATTTTTACTCGAGAGCCCAAATATGACACTGGTTCTGAGTTTTTGCACACAATTCCTAGTTTTGAGCCTGCAAACAATCTTGCAGACAATTTGAGTTCTCTTAACTGCCTGGAAACATTCAACCCACTTATAGATGATTTAGATTTTAATCCTCACCAAAACGATCAATCCGTTATATTTGGAAACAGCGGCGACTTTTTCAGCATCGATAATAATCAAAATTACAATGGTCAGCTTATTTCCACGAATGATTTAACTTCGGGATGTGACTATTATAAGCAAACCGAGTCTGAATTGATACTTAGCAATGTTGTTTCCACTGACGATCTCACATTTGACGAAACAATTATCAGTGGAACAATTCCTGAGAGCCCTCAAAACGCTCAAAATCACTGGTCTATGAAAAACGGGGAAAACGAGGAAACGCCACATTTACAAAACAAGATGAGTAAGTCTGAGATGATCGAAAAAAGTGTTTCATCTACCGTCAAGCTTTATTCAAACGATAAAAACATAAAAGAAGAGCCAGGACGAAAAAACTGTTGTGCAAGTGTTCGAAAAAATAATGACATCATGCAACAAAATTCCACTACCAACATATATTTAGTTCCTGTGGGCGCTTCGAGCAAAATTACTAATCCAGACTTTCAAAAGGCCGACAAGCAGACAACAAAAAGAGGCCGAAAAGAGAAAACTAACGAAAATACGTCAGTTATACATAATGAAACGTCTACAAAGGTTGCTGAAGACAGAGATGAGTCTAAGCCGCAAAAGTTCCAGAAACTTCTGAAAGGCAAACAGCAGACGTCTGTTAAGTATAGAGTGATAGCTGCAAAGCCAATTGCAATTCTACAGAAACATGAAGCTCAAAAACGGGCCCAGTTTGAAAATAGACAAACGATGTTGGATTTGCAAGGATCTGGCGGGACTCCTGATCAGACCTCGTTGGGATCCGAAGAGTACTCGCAGTATGACGGACGGGAGCCCGGAGGCCGCTGGAGTGCGATCATGAAACTTCCACAGGAGCTGATCAACGCAGCTGCAGCCGCCCCTGGATTCGTGTATAAGCCGAGACCCTACAAGAGGTTCCTTGATCCTAGTGTGAAAACTTATAAATGCTACTTCGACGGGTGCAGCAAATGTTACAGCAAGAGTGCACATCTCAAAGCACATCTCAGGAGACACACAGGTAATAACATTTTTTTAAAAGTGTACCAATGATATTTAACTCTTACTTCGATTGCGTATTTTCACTTGCGTCGCTTAAATCTGTCTTTTAACGTTTTCTGTATTCCGAGAACTTCTACAAAGACAATAAAATGATCAAAGTAAAGAAACCGTGTTTAACAGTCTTCTTCTTTTGATGTTTATTTTTGAAATTGCATACTTCGTAGACCAAACATTTACGGCAAACAAGAAACTTGAATAGTCTTCACCCAGTTCTAACTTTAAAATTCACTGGGATCTCTGTCTCAAAGCTCATTCACTTTTTATTGAAAGTAATCGCCCGTCTAATCCAATGTCCCGTTGGTTGAACCATAAAATCCCGGCAACTCAAGAGAGAACAATTCACCGATCGGTTATCAATATTCAAATCTCACATTTTCGAATTTAATGCCCGGGATTAATGTTATTAATAAAACGGAGGTCCTGGTTTGAGTTCCAAGGTACCACGTCGCCCTAAGCTTGGGACTAACGGCCCTCTAGTTTATCAACAAACTAGCAGTTTATGCTTATCTGCGAATTTCAGAAGTTCGAAAATGTTGCGTCAGTTAGCCACGGTTGGACAAGTAAAGACTTATTTATTTCTTCTATGATTTCGAGCCCCTCGAAGGCCGAAAGCTTTTTGATTCAAAGCAAGTTCGATTATGATTTATCCACTTAAGATAAATTCCTTCGCCCACCTATACTTCCAAACTGCCTCAAGAAATCAATCAAAGATATTTTAAAACTTTGAATGTGTTTTGTTTCAACACCGTTCCTGCTTTGTAATCAGGCTAATTGAGCTGTGAGGAACATAGCCTCTTTATTTTTGCAACTAGAGTTCAATGCGGGTTGGTATGTTTTGGGAGATTGCGGGCAATTTAACAACATTACTCATATCTTCCAGGAATTAAGAAGAGTTTGATCAGAAAACGATTCCATTCATGATATGGAAGAAAAGGTTCCCTCCCGAATCTTTGGCGTCAATCAAAAGTTTATTGAAATTCACCAGGTAGTCTGATATACCTAAGAAAACAAACTGCATATCACGGGCGATTAATGGATTAGGATATGATCTACCAGTTTTATAAGTTGAAATTGGTTTCAATAAAAAGATTCAAAAATGCAAACCAGCCAATAACAAGTAATCAACCGCTCCCCTCTCTGAAGGTGGAATGCCACGTTTAAGTAAACACGAATAATAAAGTTGGTTCATATCTTTTTTTTTAGGGTATAAGATTGTTAGATAAGCCCGACTACGTTTTTTGATAATTTTTGTCTATTTTTATTGGATTGCTAGTCTTTTTTGCCGTTTTCCCGAGAATTGGTCAGTTTAGGTCTTGTATGTTTAAAATCAGTTATTGCTTAACTTATGTAAACTTAAACTTCTGGCTTAAGATAAAAAAAAACTGCCGTAATTATCAAATCGTGGTCCTTGAAATGATGAATTTCGTTGAACTGAAGTTTACCGGAGACTGAAGTTTACTAAAGTTTCTATTCGTCAATGATTGGTTAAAATTCAATCATAAGGTTAAGATATTTATAAATGGCATTCTTCGCGATCTATGTTCATATATGAAGATTAAACTCACATTAAGAACATTCTACTAAACTTTGACTTTTTGTTAGTTTAAAGCATGAATGCAGATATCAGTTCTGAATACTCGTGGCAATATTGTGAATTGCGGTCAAAGAATTGAATTGAATTCGAATGAATGACAAAATTGGAATTGATAAAATTAAAGAAAATGGGCTACTCTTGCTGGTTTTTTTTAGCGGGCTGATACAAATGATTGATACTCGAATGAAAATGATTGAACACAGAGGCGAGATGCGACTAACTAAGAAAACTTTTCCTTTAAAGTCTGTCTTCTCTGCAAGACTGTTTTTCCTTTTATAGCAAGTTTACACTTTCATTCATTTTTGTTCAGGTGAGAAGCCATTCGTCTGCACGTGGGAGAGTTGCGAGTGGCGGTTTAGCCGATCGGATGAACTATCCAGACATCTGAGATCCCACAATGGCATCAAACCCTATCTGTGCAAAATATGCGACAAGAAGTTTTCCAGGTCCGACCACCTCTCAAAACACATCCGAGTTCATTCGATCAACCAAAACGCTTCAAGTACAGTCCCTCTTTCCAGTCCAGATAACACCCAATCTGCTAATTCAACAGCTGCTAATGGAACTATATCTTCTCCTGACGAGATGCTCTCTCCAAACAGTGCGATGTACTCTAATGAAATCAATTATGGTAAAGAGCCGTTATCCGTTAGTGGAACGTATTCTCCAAACTCAATTTTTGCCAAAAATTCCAATTTTTCTTCGACAATTCCGCAAAATGCAAGCACAAACAGTAACTTTCGAGCAGCTGTCGGCCAGGAAAGCAGAAGTGCCACAAGCACTTTACAGGATCTGAACTCTTACGGACAGAACGTTGCAACTCCTATGAGTGTTTCTAGTCTGGTAGGCTCCACGATTCACTCAGCCGAAAAGACCGCTTGGGCTGAGAGAGCAGATGCATACATTGTACAGCGTCCTGAAAAGCATCAAAAAGACCATTCATTGAACAAGTCGGCTATGTTACGCGACCTTCTCAACGAGAAGCAAAGAAAACATCAGAATAGTCAAAATCAAGTTCAAAAACAGAACGCACAGCCTGAAATTACCCCAAATATGTCAACTTCGCTTACCCCAGCAGGTCAAATGAATTCTGCTTGGGAACCTCTGCCACCGAATGGGAGTCGAGTTGAGTTCGTCTCTGGTCCGAATGGATCTCGCGAAATGTTCGTGGCCGAAGTCCAAATGCAACCTCAAAGAGCAGAAAACGTTTCCTCATTTTCGTATCAACAACAACTCTCTGTTCCATTGATGAGAGCGTGCGAAAATGGAACACACAGATGTCGCGAGTGCTTCGAAAAAAAGTTAAGATCGCGTGATAATGCGAACTACAACATGCAGCAAATTTATTTTTCCGACAACAATGTTGGCAACGAGTGCGACGTGAAGTTTTCTCAAATCTGGGACTTACCGCCTTGTTTGATAACTCAAGACTACTTCCAAAATTCTCCTTCTAAGGCCATCTCACCGGAAATCACCATGAATGAAATTAATGAACTCGTGGCAAAATGCGGAGCTGAATGGCCTTTATCGAACTAAAACGGAATCAAAGATTTTTGCTTTAGAAACTACTATAAACTTGATAAAAACAAGACTTGACGCTTTTTTCAACGTTTTCTAGCTTTATTTTTTATACAAATTTTTGATAACATGGTTTAATATAGCAGATTACTTCACTGATATTATAGAAATTGTTTTCGATGCGCTTATTTTAAATATTGGACTGAAATTAATTATATAACTATAAGTTGATTGCTGCTTACTTGCAAATGCCTTTCAAAACTGCCTTTCAGCACTATTTCACAAAACAGTTACTTTAATTTGTTTTCTCCCGAGACATCTTTATTTCCCACCTTCAGCGACAAAAAAAAACAAATTGTTTACTAAACAAACTTTTGTCGTCACAGAGCTTTTCCTTAATCTAAACTTTCCTATCACTATTCCGCGAAATGCTTCCACGCAGTAAAATCTGCTGAATGCAAGATAAATTCCAATACTTCAAATTGTACGAAAACATTAATGCTGTAATTAAATTTGAATTCGAATTTATTGAATTTCTTGGAAAACTATGATATAAATTACACATCACCTTGAATTGTTGAACTTCTAACAGAAATGATAATAAATTTTATGAGTAGCACTAAATCCTACAATTGGCTTGACTGCTTCAATACTGTACAAATTATGTTCCAAGTGCCTTTCTATTGTGGCTTCTATATGCTTTAAAAATTCTAAGTTAGAACATACACCGTTTTGTTTAAAAAGAAGTCTTTTTTATAGCTGATCAAAACGACGATCAATTTATATAAGACAAGATTGATCATGTCAGTGGGAGACCTGACGGTGATTCCCATACCTAATCTTGATCCCCGACCACCGAGGGGGAAGGAAATCAGAGAACAATAACCTCACATCTCCAAATCAATTCAAAGGGGGGGGGGACGTTGACTTTGATTTGCTTAATATTGTAACTTAGAACAGAATCGAGCATTTTAAACACAGCAAGTTTAATCTAAGACAAACGCGGTGATTGAAGGTCCCGTCTAGGATCATCTGAATTGAAGGTATGAGGTTAAATTGATCCCAATCTCAGTATTCGGATGCTTTGTATAAGCGCAAATTCAGAAATCTCGAAGAAGTCATACGAGGTCAAATTCAGACCAAATTCAGGGATTCGACCCCCTGCCGACCCAAAGGGTCCCCTTTGAACTAATTTGAGATATCCATTTTTGGCTGACGGACCCCAAAATTTTTCTGGCGCCAATTTATACTAATTTTGAGTGGGTAGTGCGCGCCGAAAAAACGCAATTCGGCCTGTTTTTTCAATATTTCCCCTGCGGCGCAGAAATTTTGGCCAAAACAGGGTCTTTTTTGTACTTTGGTAGAGCTCGGAAAATCAATTTGGCCGACCTAAAAAAAGGTCGACCTAAATGTTTTTTTTTTGAAAATCTGCCCCTGAGCCAAATTTAAAGTCTTTGTGGTTGTGCGCCGAAGCCATTACTGATGCGCGATCTTCCTTTATATTAGATCACCAGGGCTATTTATTTAGCAATTGCAAGCTGGAAAAAGGACCACTTGGCAGCGCAAATTCTTAGAGAGAAGACACCTCCATTCTGCTTCGGCGCGTACACGAAAAGCATCTTCGACATCTAGAAAAAAAAATAACAGTAGCTGGCTTTACTCCAGATCACGCTCCCGAGGTTGCCATCTGGTAGAATTTCGAAACAATAGTTTATTATAAATACAATTTTTAAACTGCCGCACCATCCGCAATTCATAGAAAAAAGGGTCTGCTTGCTTCAAAAAAGCACGCTGCAGCTGCTAATAATCGTTACTGAAGGTGTGACATCACGATATTGATGAATGGCAGGTAAACCGTCTGCCGGAAATAGTGTTACGGAAATTTGAGAGTAGAAGCCTGAGTGTTACCATTTGTGTGACAAAACCCACATGAATCGTTTGGTAGCAATCCCCATCCTACGGTTGGGTGTTACCAATTGTGACGAAAACCATTTGAATCTTTTGGTAGCAATCCCCATTCTAATCATCTCACAATTGCTGTAAAATAACAAGCGACTTTTTTATGGGCTCAACTTTTCGCGTATGGGGTTTGAAATTGTTTCGCTATTTCAGATAATCATCCTAATGTTATGTTAACAGATAGGCAGTGAGGTGAAATCATGTACTTTTTTTTTGTGAAATGCTTCCGATTTTTTTTCAGGCAAGCTTATTGGTCCAAGTTATTGGTTAATCGATCCAAAAAAATAATTTTTTGCTGACATTGCGTGTTGGGATAGTTAATTTTTTTTCAAAGTCATTTCATTCTGATTGATTTTTTTCTATACTGGAAACTAGGATTGAACCCCTACGCTGCAGTAAATTGAATAAATACTAAAATTGTTCAAGAATAACACAAAAACTGCAATAATGTTTCGTTTTGAGACTATTATTTTCGTTTACCCGGTATAAAAAAAGTTAGAACGCTCTGCAAAAACACGCTAGAGTGCAACTAAGATAGTGATAAGCAACAATTTTTATCGCCTAGTTTATACAAGTTTTATAATTTGTTCCAAGTTTTTTGAAAATTGTTTTATGTGAGGCAAATCTTTAAAAAAACTTCTAAAGTTATATTTAAAAAAAAGCAAAGCAGTTGCCTTGATCTCTAACATTACGAGCATCAGTAGATGCATGGGCGCAAACATGAGTAATCGGTTTTTGTGCAAAGTTAATCGGTTTTTGTTCTAACTCAAATTTGGAAAAAAAAAGACGATTTTTTTTTGTTTTGTCAACCCTATTATATTCTTTGTCTGTTTTTTTTTGTCCGTAATAGGGAACTTTTTAGGTAGAAAACCGCAAAAATGGGTTATTATGTGCTACAATTTTCTAAAGAGTTCATATAAGGAGCGCAGTGTTATATAATCTTCTCTGTTTTTTGTCTAAAAATGTAAAATTTGAGACAAGTTTTTCTTAACAGAATAGTATTTTTTTTTCTGATTCCAAAACCACAATAGTTGATGAAATATTTGACAATTACGATACTTTTATGAAGTAGTCGAATACCCAACATGTGCAATAATTTTTCTAAATGGGTGACTTGGTGGTAACAAGAAGCAGCTCTGATTGATCGCTGATCAAAAACTCAACAAGAAAAACTTGACAATTGAACAATTGAAAAGATATAAAGAAGATAAGCAAAAGTCATTTCTATTGGTGCAAACTTCGTTTTTAAATCCTCTTAGAAAAACGCTAACGTGACGAACAAATATTACCAGCTACCGAACCGATGCAATAATTTTTATCACAAGAATTGTATCATTATATAAAACTAAACAATTTTGTTCGGACCAGGGAATGCTTTAAGTCTTTTGATGTTTTCAGGGTGTCTGAAGTTAAAACAAATGGTGCATATATATATATATACATATATATATATATATATATCAGGGGCGGATCTAGGAGTTTCTCGAGGGGGGCGGATTTTCAAGATTTTTTCGGAAAATTGGTCGACTTTTTTTTTGTAGGTCAACCAAACTGATTTTCCGAGCTCTCTTTTACTAAAAAGACCCTATTTTAGTCAAATTTCTGCTCTGCAGACAAAATATTGAAAAAACAGGCCAAAAAGGCGTTTTAGGCACTTTTTTGAAAATTTTGATTAAAAAAAATGCGTTTTTTGCGCGCGCTCCCCCTCAAAAGTAGTATATATGGGCGCCGAAGGTGCCTTTAGAAGACTTTTAGTATTCGTCAGCCAAAAACGGATATCTCAAAATAGTACCAAGGGGAGACCCTGTGGGTCGGTAGGTTGTCGAATGGCTGAGGAAAGGGCGTCCGCCAAACCCCGCCCACCCCCATAAATCCGCCCCTGATATATATGTTGGATAAACCTGGCATATGTTTACATTTTTTCGGATTTTGTTTTTTACATTTTCTGTCGCGTTTGTAGGGGTTAATGAAAATTACAATATACATGTTTTTCATTTAAGCAAACAGAGGTAAATCGAATTCCCGGCACTTCATGAAAAATCATTACAGGTAACAAAATGTATCCAGTTTTGTATGCTAGTCGGGCGTTTTATTATGGTTGCTTTAAAAGCTGTTTCTTAAAAAAATTTGGTTAAGTCTGAGGATTTCCAAAGAATTTGAACAGGTCGTTTTTTGTTGCCTTTTATAAATTAAAACGTTTAGCTCAAAGTTTTGATAGCTTTATTGGCTAAAGTTTATTTTTTGATTTGTCGATTTGTGAATAGATTTTTGATATCTCAGAGACTCATTCAGAGGAGCAAAAATCATATACACTTACTTTGTGAAAAGTTAAGCAATTTTTGCAGCAAGAAGCTTCAGGCAAATTTTTATTATCAATTATTATCATAATTGATCAAAATTTATTGAAAACAAGCATGTTTTTTGTTTTTCGATTTTCAAAGAACGATCAACTATTGGTGCTTGAAGTAACGGAATATTTGTGCTCGAGTTGGGTTTTCTCTTCAGACAATTTTTTTTATCATTCAAAAGCTATTGTTGTCCGAAGCTTAAATTTAAAAATGTATTTTACTTTTGATGATTTTTCGTAAAGTTATGGGGTTATAAAGATTGCCATTTTGGCCAATTTGATTTGGGACAACTAACGCTCGATATTTTTTGCGCTATTAACGCGTAAGCAGAGATTTATTCCGTCATAGAAATTGTTCCAAACTGGTTGAAGGAAGCTTGTTTGCCATAATTGATTTGTTACAAGGAGCAAAATCTATCCTTCTGTACACTATCTACCTATCTATCTTTATGGCGTGTAAGGGGATAATTCTCACAAAAAATCTCAAACATTCTTAGATTTTTTTTTCTTTTTTTTTTCTTGATGTTCAATTTTTTTTTATAGTTTTTACTGCTCTATAAACCTCTAAAGGCATTCAGAACTTTCAAGGCTTCGCCCTAAATGTTTTCCTAGCGTGTGAGGGAAGGATTTTTACAAAAAAGGCTTGTGGGAGGATGATTTTATTTGGCGTGTGGGGTTATGACTTTCACAAAAATTCTCAAATTTTAGAAAAAAAAATCATTTTATTTTAATACAATTGTTTTTTTTTTAAAGTTATTACTGCTCCATAAACCTTAAAAAGCTTTCGGATCATTCGGAGCTTCGCCCTGATGCGAGCAGTCTTGTTATTCTTCAGAAATGTTTCATTTATATTTTTCGCAAGTTTTTTCGGAACTTTTCTTCAGCTTGAGAGATATAGCCCGTACCGAGTAAATTTTTTTGTTTCAGGCCTGAAATACTTTGTATATAATCTAACTTCTGCCCAAAAATTCTTTTCGAAATGTTTAAGTAAAGCAGGGAGTTTCTTTAAATTCATTATTTCTCATCTTAATTCCGGTCAGAAATTAGCTAAATCTGAGCTATTTCTAGCTAGGAAAAATTCTCATGGTGTTGCTGGAACCTCAGACCTTCTGTTTTCTAGCTGGATGTGCTAGCTTTTTAGTATTTAGTTTGCACTGTGTTGCTACTGTTACTGTGTATACTCGAAGCAAATATATCTCGTTGCGGTTGAGCAGTGGACTGATTTTTTGGTATTTAATTTTAGAAACTGTTTATTTTTAAACTAGAAAAGAAATAGATCATTTCTGCACATAAAATACGGGAAAACTAGGCTAGATAATCTATAAAAACTTCTATCTTGAAAAACAGCTTCCGTTGGGTACGGGAGTTGTTTTGATTTGAAGATTGGAAGATATTTAACGTGCAACCATTTTTTGCATAGCTATTCAGGTGTGAATTTTGGTATGATTGATTCGCGTGTAGTTTCCTCTTTTTTTTTCAAACGGTTTAATTTCAATTCAGTTTTTGCATAGTTATTTGGGTGTGAAATTTTGTATTATTGATTCGCGCGTAATTTTCAAGCGGGTTATATTAGCAGGAAATTATTCCGCCTGAGAATTCTTCTCAAATCAATGTGAGGCGAGCTATTTGATTCAAGTTTGTTCCATCCAAAATTTCATATGGCAAAAATTGAACGAATAGCTATTGCAAAATAATCTGAAATAGAATCTTGTAGACGTTTATAGAGGATTAAATTGGATATTATCTTACAATTTATATAGTTTAAAAAAAAGTTTTCCCAGAGTGCGTTTGCCATAGAATGCAAAATTCCCAGAAAGGGAACTTAATCTCCCTTAAAATACTTGAAATACTTTTTTCCTACTGCAAGAACAAAAAAAATCTGAGAAATTGTTTAAAATAAATAACTTAAGGACCAGTCATTTTAAAACGCAGACAAACGTAATCACAGTTCTAAGAGTACTCTCTTTTTTGGAAAGAAAGTTGAAACATAAAAATTATTGATTAATGAGATTTGTACTATTTCTAAGTCTCAATTTGAAGGAGATCCTTCATTTTGCCCGCTGATGATTTAATGCAACTAATTTGAAATTGTTCAATTGGATTGAAAGTTTCCTCGTTCTTTTTCACTCCTTCAGGTAATTTTATACCCTACGTGGGTTCAATTTCAATTGGATTAGTACAAAAAGCGTGGAAAAAAAAACTGTACTCAATCAATCTGGAGTGAAATTCATTTCACTTTCTTTTTCAACACGGTCAGATTAGTTTCAAATTACAAATAAATTTAAACCCAGTCACAGAACAAAATTTGTTCAAGGGTATAATTCTATATTTCGAGTTTTACTTCGTCAACCAATCAGTTCTTGCAGACGCTCATCACCATTTTAGAAGTTTACTTGACTGTAATATTGTAAAATTACATAATAGGTTCATGATATCGACGAGAAAAAAGTTTTTGTGATGAGAAACACTGCCAGGGGTAAAAAAAAAAGAGAATGGGAGTCGGAAATCTAGTTTTAATTTAGAGGTATGCATGTGTGAACTAGATTGGTGAGTTTGAAGGATATAAAAACTGACACTCGGTCAAATCAGATAAGATAAGAGAATGACAATTCTTTTTCTAAGGCAGTGTCCGTTGATCCCCTTTCATTGAGTGAATTCTGTTACCTTTCTGCTGCCTATATCTTTTTTTTCTATATTTCATGATCGTCTGTATAGCAAGGATGTTTTATGTGAGATTTATGGTTACAATTTTTGATTTATCCACGAGAAAAAGAGCCAACATGCGAGCTCTACTGTTCATATGGGAGAACTGCTGGTGTGTCTTTAATAGAGAACTTAGTTTTTTTTGCTGGTTTTGGGCTGTGGAATGCTGCTTCACCGCTAAGCATCGGAATCGTTGTGTTTCGCACCACCAAACTTTCGACTGAGAAGCGGAAACTATCGTCACTTCAATGGCGCTCTCCATCCGTTTTTGTAATTGAACTTAAATAATCACAATTGGCTATTCGATGATATTTTGATATTTTTTATCAAGATGTTTCAAGGTCAAACCGCACCATATATTTCAAGTGATGCAACGCTAAGTTAAAAACGGGTGCCATTTTAGTTTAATGCATTCGCTCAGTTGCCTGACCTTAACAACCCTGCTGATGAGGATTACAATTAGTTAATCGAAAAAAAAGTTCAGCAAAACTTTATCACTGACCTAGCAGCATAGCTCTTTTTTTTGAAAATTGGCAGAAAAAGCACGATTTCACAAAGGCTCCTCTACAATTGAAATTATTATTTAATTATGAATCTTGGTATTTCAGAAATTATCTGTTTGTGCAATGTCAGTTGATTAAAAAAAAAAACTTTAGCTTCAAATAATTAAATTTCAAAATTAAGTCTACAAATCTGGATTATTACACGGCTGTTTAATACATACATTGAAATTAAAATTCTTTGAGCTGCAATAGAATAGAGTTACACGTAGAATGAAAGATACGAAGGGCTTAAAAAACAGCGTTTGGCTATATCAGGATCTGCCTGGCGCTTGAAAGCCACAAACTTAAAACAGAGCATGATTTTTGCTATAAAAACCATCAGTTTGAATCAGATCCTTTTTCTCTACTTTCAAGATTTTGCCAAATTTTTTTTTCTGTTGTTGTTTTTCTGTTAAATACGACTCCTAAAAAGTGTAATATGGAACTTTTGCATAAAGCGGTACTAAACGCAAAGTTTTGTCCTCATTAAACGCGAGAAGAGAAGATACTCGGACGGCCGGTTTGAGTAGTAGCGCGAGTTACCGACTGACGATCTGCTGGACTCGGTCTCTTCTCAAACAGTTTCTGAACTCTCTCTGGAATCACGAATCGCAACAGCGCTCCCAATCTCTCTCGGAAAATCTGGCTAGTCGCAAAGTAGATGATCGGATTGCTCACGAAGTTGAGAAGGAAAAGAATTCGGGTCAGTTTTCTGCCAACTTGAACTTCCCGTTTGCTCTGGTCCCATTTGAGAAAAAAGACGAGATTCTCGAATATCAGAAATGGACAGACACAGATAAGAAAACAGGTGGAAATTACAAAAAGGGTGAAGGTTACTTTATTCTTCGGGTCTCGCGACGCACTTCGGCTGCTGTTGCTGGAAACTGGCTGCGACTCTTTTCGGTCAACAGCAGCTTGGACCCCGAGTGAGACTCGTCTTGGTGGTTGACTGTTTTCTTCCTCAATTGCAAGTGCCGGCGGAGGAACTGATCCGTTGTCAGTCTCGTTTGGCTCTCCGCCCCCTCCGACTTCGTTCGCCTGAGCAGAAGTACATGGCTTCATTTCCTCTCGGTCGTGCTCCGAATGGTTTTCTTTGTGCATGGTCTGCATTGACGTTGGCATCTGAAAAAAATAATAAAATGAAAGCTTATAATTTGCTTTGCCAGAAGCTAGAATGAAACGTTTCATTACAGGGATTCCGCGACCAGGCTGGAAAAATCTAGCAAAAAGATGTTCATTTTCTTATAAGCATTACTTACAACGAATTTGCTAGTCAACAAATTTAAAAAGTGGACGTCTTATCTTGCAGAATGTTTGTCAACTAGAGATGATGTTAATTTGAGTTTTGTGATTCTCACTAACCGGTCGACGTCTGAGTCGTTCGTTCTGCAACTGGAACGTCTTGATGATGTGGAAGTAGGAGTAGAACATGATGGCCAGAGCAGTGATCACCAGTATATTGTAGACCATGTAGTTCTGCACATCTATGATGTCCTGGAGGAGTTTAAGGGAGGTGAAGTAGTAGCCGAAGCAGACTGCCCCCTGCACCACCGACACTCCGAAGATCCCCAGCAGCACGTTCCGAACCCTAAAAAATGGCGAATTGTTTCTTAACTACTGCTACCGAAATTATTACCACATCTCTTAGTTAACAAAGTTGCTGAAAAAAGGACCCAGTGAGGAACTGGTGTAAGGGAAAGGGCGATAATTCGTAGCAGGTAACAATTCGTAAACAAGTGACAGGCCGTAAAAAACATTGGCATCTGCGGAAATATTCGAGACAATTATCATTATCGTGAGTTTGAATCAACTGATTCTGTTGTATTTCCGACATTCGAACAAAGGGGCGGGATATTTATGATCGGGGTAGTTTTTTTTCTCTCAATGCATCTGATGGCTTTTATGATCGGGGTAGTTTTTTTCTCTCAATGCATCTGATGGCTAAGGATATCTTTAGCTCAAATTAAAAAAAAATAACTTGTGAACCTTTTGTTGAAAATAATGGGGGTTCGAAATTGCCAATTTGGCTAATTTCGACAATTAGCACGAGATGTTTTGTGTATTAACGTGTAAACGGCTATTCAACCCGCTCATAAATTGTTTTAAATTGAATGAAGGCCAGATTTTTGGTGTTTTAATCCGTTGACCGACAAGAAAAATTGTAAATTTTGTACCTGGCATAGCGTTTGGGAAAGGTTTCAAAAAAGTGGCGAAAAAAATCTTGTAGTTTTGAAAAAAAAATCAAAAAAGTGGCGAAAAAAATCAAATTTTCAAAACTATTTCAAAGACGTTGAAGGGTTTTGCCTTGATACGAGCACTCTTGTTATGAATGATCACCTATACGAATTGTCGCTTGTTGTTCCGGCTTTTGAGGAGGATGACAGAATACTTGAGCTCGGGTTGGTTTTGCTTCCAGACAATTTTCGACTCTCAAACTAGTCAATTTTGGGCGGTTTTTTACTAACCAATTGAAAGCATTGATAATCTGAACTCAAACTTGGTAAATGAGCGTTATATTTCCTTCTGTAACGCGGAAACGGAGAAGTAACCCGGCTTAGAAATAGTTTCAAAAGTAATTGAGGCTGGTTATTTGCACTAACTGTTTAAGTTACTATAAGTGAAATCTATCACCTTATATGGCGTGCGGAGGATAATTTCAATGAAAAGTACGAGAAGAAATAATTTCTATTGTTTATTAAAACTTCATCAAATTAAAGTAAATTTTGAAAATAATTCCGTAAACGTTATAAAGCAGTCAAAAAATTTGTGATGATAACCAACATTTATAAATTTTTCCTTCGCGTTTCGAAAAAAAACAGCGTGTCAAAGTGGTGTCCCACTCTTTAACCCTACGATATTTAACCCCCTCTGTTTACACCCCCTATATCATAACCCCGTAACATGATAACCCCACAACAATTTAACCCCCTTTTAATGACGATAATTTGTTCCAAATTAAGTCCTTTTTATAAGTACAGGAGTAGTCCAATTAAGCTTACTAATTGAGGCCTGAAAAGCTAGTCTTAATTCACTTGATGCCTCTAGCATCTCAAAAGTAATTGCATTTCGATTAGTTAGAGAAATAATCCCTCACTCACGCGTTTAAAACAGAGATAACCTACATGGTGCTAATTGAAGGCAACAAAAGACGTTTGTGAGTTTTATAAAAAATCATACTGCCTATTTCTTTAACCATTGTTATACCACTCTATCAGATCAGATATAATGTTTGAAGCGTCATTCCATTTTTTTTAATCTTCGAAAGATAAACAAATGCTAGTGGTATCAGGCCACGAGTATTACCTTAAACGAAAAAACAAAACAACAACAAATTGGAACTGCTCAAAGTACCAAACCCATAAATGCCGCGCAACAGCAATTACGGAAGGAGAAAATTTTATTGAAACGAGGGGTCAACATAATCACGATATTTCCACGGGCAAACCTGATGCTCGACTAGTTTTGAAAAACATCAAGGAGCTAAGCGATAGTAACACCCCAACTAGTGATGCTCGACTAGTTTTGAAAAACATCAAGGAGCTAAGCGATACAGTCATACTTCAGTGGATCGCATCCCAGTATATGGAAAGTGATTGCAAATTTGCAAAAAGACGCTTCCGTCCAAAAACTTAATTTTTATAACGCCTCGAGTGGGCACCAATTTACAAAAAAGAAAAAATACCGGGTGCTCAACGAAAAAGTGCAGAATATTATGCATGTGTACGAAGAAAAAACTGATTTGCATTTCTTTCGCGCTATGGCGAACTTGAGTTAAATATTTGCTATTTAATCTATATTGCCAAGCAATAAAAATTTTTCCAAGTTTAATTATTTTCCTTGATTTTTCAAAATTGAGCTAGAGTCGATTTGAAACCGGCAAAATAATAAATACATACAAGGTGATGACTTTTCTTTTCCTTCCGCCCAACCCTGTAAGGTTAACCCATTTATTGTACCCTTGGTATACCCGTTATCATTTTTACCCGAAATTCAACTTTTTTGGAAAAATTGGAAAATTTTTTGTGCCGCCAGGGATTTGATCCTTTGATCTCTAGATTTTGAGACTAACGCTTTAACCACTATACCATGAGGCCTTTGGTTGTCATCCGATTTATTCTTCCAAATTTGGCTCTTTGATCTTTAATTAAGCCCATGTTTGAGTTTTCAAAGCGTAGATCAATTCTGTCGGCGCCAAAAGATCAAGGTCAAGAAATTCAAATGGTTTTGGACTGTTTTGTATATGCACCATTTTGAATCATGTCGGTCGGATTCGTTTTCAAGTTCATATCAAAGTCTAGACTATCGGCAAGGTCATTTCTTTTCAAATCTAAAATGCATTTAGCAGCGTGCATTTTAACTCATTTTGGTTCGCAAAATTTTTCGCAATTAAAGCTTTGATGTTTACCGACGATATGGTTCCGAGTCCTTTTCAAGTAACTTTCACTTTGATTCTAACAATTGGTTTTAAAAAGGGGTTAAATTGTAGTGGGGTTATCTGATTTGGGGGTTATATGAGAGGGGGTTAAGAAAAAGGGGGTTACAAAACACGGGGTGATAAGCTTGGGAACCGTCAAAGTAATATAAAAAATGGCTGGCTGTGCCAGTTACCACGACAAGTTTTAATGATAACGCTTCTTGTTCGAAATTCTTGCCTCAGCTGTGAAAGAAATTGGCCTCAATCTTAAGATTTTGCACACTAAATGCCACGAATTTTACAAACGACAATGAACTCCCACTTCAAAGTAGTTTTCCACAAACTGACTCTAATATTTGCAGGTTTTGATTTTATTCCTCCAATCATGTCAAAAATTAACATTAGAAAATTTGACATTTTAAAAAAACTTTCAAATAAAACAGTTTTTGTGGTCTTCTTTAGTTCAGTTTAAAAAACTCAAAAACACAAATGAGCATTAGCTTAGGATCAGTGACCTGTTGTCAAAAATCTCTTACCATTGTATCTTGAGCTGCAACGCAACATCTCGGAAAAAATTGTATTGAGAAAAATTGATATTTTTTTCGCCTTATTAGCGAGTGCAAACAAAAACAATACAAAAAAATACAATTGAACAAGTTCAAACTTTAGCAATTTCAATTGCATTTTTTCATTTAAAAAATCATGTTATAGAAAGTTGTACGCAATACAAGCTTGAAATGAACTACAGAAAAGATGAAATCATTCTAAATGCGTCTAAATTGAAACGTCAAACTTGAGTTGTAGACAAACAATTTTATGAAAGTTTTTAAGTCGAAGTCTAGTCACAATTGCAAGGGTTTTTTAATGGTGTATCATTCATCCCAATCTAAGGTTTGTTTGAGACGCCTTATTTTACGTGGAAACTACAAAATAAACAAATGAAACACATCTGAATAGAATCTGGATCCAACTTTGGAACAAAAATAATGCAGATACATGCATATTCTTAAATTTACCGGTTCAAAACTCAAATAATTTTGCATGTAAGAAACTCTCTGAGCTAAGTAGAGTTGAAAGTTTCTGAGTTTGTCTCTAATTATGAAGTTACAGGGCAAATCTTGAAAAAAAAAACACGAGCCGCGCCTGAAAACAAACTGCAGCGGAACGAAAAAATTGCCTCACCTCATTTGGTTTCTTGCCCTCCAAAAAATTAGTGAGCTTACACCATGATCTTCGTACAAAAAAGGATGCCATGATGGTTAAAAATATTACTTTTTGTTCGATGGCACACGAGCATGTGGATATAATACTAATTAGTAGCTAGCAGCATCCTCGTATTGCGAAAGTTACTTAATAGCTAGTAGCATCCTCGTAAGAGTAAAACGGCTGCAACACGGAGTCACTAAATATTGGTTTATAAATTGATTACACCCTTTAAGTGTTCAAGAGCTATTATTGTACTGACTTCTGAAGAGAGTGCAGAATATTTATACTAGGTGTGGTTTTTTTTTATTCAGTCAATTTCCGACTTGTTAACCAAGCGTTTTAGACGGAAGTTTTTTATAATCTTTGAAAAAATTTTTTGTCCTGAGCTCAAATTTAAAAAGAACTTAACTTGTGATTAATTTTCGTAAATTTACGGGGGTTCGAAAATTGTTATTTGGACAATTTGGGATTATTAATTGCGTTTTATTGCGTACTTATAACACACGTTAGCAGCTAATTATTGCGCGCCTACGCATTAATTAGCTGCTTACGTAATAATTAATAACACACGTAAGCAGCTAATTAAAGCAGCTAATTATAACACACGTAAGCAACTAAATTTGATTGAGACCAACAATTTCATCCTATCGCACGCAAACCGGGACGCTAAACACTTCCTTAGAATTTAAAATAGTGGCGCGTTAAAATGAAGAAAAAATGAAAACAAAATTTTTTTTTCTAATATTTTTCAATTCTTCAACCGAATTTTTTTTTTAATTGACCTTAACTGCAGTCGGAACATTCAGGGCTTCGTCCTGATATACGAACAGTCTTGTTTAAACATAATATTTGATTGTTTGATATTAAATATGCCTCATAATGATACTGAAATTTTGGTCCTCCGCCAAGTCTTACTAATTGTTCCGACTTACGTAACGAAAGTAACGGAATATTTGTGCTCGGGGCGA